TTGTGCTATCTCATTTATTTTTCCCAATAACACATTTGTGAAACAGGAACCATTTTAAACAAATAAGGAAACTGTGGCACAGAAGGTTAAGTATCTTGTCTATGGTCACAAAGGTAGAGACAGAGCTGGGATTCAAACCCAGGTGTCTGATTCTAGAGCCTGAGCTCTTCATCAATAAATTGGTCATTAATACTTTCCCTGAGCAATTTTCTTTCTTCTTGGACCTGCTGGGATTTGTGTGCATGTAGTTCTTGAGCTTTTTTGGTCACAGTTAGTACCTGGCTGTCTTGATGGAGGCACTGACAGTGACACTGTGTTTGCCAGAGCTTTTCTTAATTCCTCCACTCAGAGCAGATTCCTTCACCTGAAAGGTGGTATAGCCACCCCCTTTTAAAAAAGAGACCACTCTCTCATTTCTTTTTTACTGTTCACATGAAACCAAATAGATCTCAGCAGTTAGACCATTCTTGTTGATCTTGTTTGCTCCATCAGCAGATCCTTCAAAAGGTTAGGTACCTCACCTTCATTTTACAGATGCGGAAACTAGGGTCCAGGAAGGTAAAATGACTTGGTCAGGGTTACATGGTGAATTGAAGGTAAAGCTTTAGGTTTTCTGACTCTTAGCCCAGTGCTCTCTACTAATTTAGGAAAGAGGAATGGTACGTGTGTACAGTATGCAGATCAGTCCTAAAGAGGGTTGAACTGTATTAAGACTTAGGATCTAGAGACTTCTGAAAAGGGACCTTGCCTTCTCCATCTATATCTTCACCCTAGTCCATACACTTACATTTGAGGAATTCAGGAGAAAGGGAGAAACAGTCTCCCCTTAGGGTTCAGTAAAGCCTTCGTGATAGGGAGCTGTGGGGAAGGGTCCAGAGGATGTCAGTATCTCCTTATCCATAGGAAGTTTAGACTCCCAGGCAGGGCTTATTAGCCTGGAGAAACCCTTGTAGAAGGGGCAGAAGAGCAAAAGAATCTGCATGTCCTATGACCTACACAGGTTTTAGCCTAAATCAGGCAAGGGTTGGGCTGGGGCAGGAAAGTGGTAAAAACTGAAAATTGGAGCTCTGAGGATTGGAGTCCTGAGGAGCTTCACTTTATTTCTCCTGACAGATTAGTCTGGGATGTAGACAAGTTCCCTTCATTTAAAATTTGTAAAGAGGGGTTCCTACTGCTGCTTTAGAAAAAAAAAACAAACAAAAATCCTTGATTCTGGAACCAGAAGGAAAAAGAAACCTTTCTCAGACTCTAGGCCTCAGACATTTCAGTCTTGTGCAGGCATCCTCTTCCTTTTTGTGTCCTTTTCCTTCTTTGCTTTTACCCCTTTCCTCTCCCTCTTTTCTCTGTTAACCACCCAAATCCCCTCCCTTTTTAAAAAAGATTTTTATTTATTAAAAAAAAATTTTATTTATTTATTTTTAGACAGGGGAAGGGAGGGAGAAGAGAAAGAGAAACATCTGTGTGGTTGCCTCTCGCGCGCCCCTCACTGGGGACCTGGCCTGTAACCCAGGCTTGTGCCCTGACTGGGAACTGAACCAGTGACCTTTTGGTTCACAGGCCGGCACTCAATCCACTGAGCCACACCAGCCAGGGCTAGATTTTTATTTACTTTTAGAGAGAGGGGAAGGGAGGAAGAAAGAGAGGGAGAGAAGCATTGATTGGTTGCCTCTCACACATCCCCAACTGGGGACTTGGCTTGCAACCCAGGTATGTGCCTTGACTGGGAATTGAACCAGCAACCTTTCAGTTCTCAGGCCAGCGCTTGATTCACTGAACCACACCAGCCAGGGCCCAGCTTTCCTTTTTATCCTTTTCTCTCCTTGTCTCTTCCCTAACTCCTGAAAAGAAGAATGTGAAAAGGGCATCTTTAGCCAACAGATTAGTAGATACTGATATTATAGGTACTTGGGCTAAGAGTCAGAACATGGAGCTAATAAGACCCTAAGCCTGCCATAAGATCACAGTCTTATGGGGAAGACAGTGTAGCAGTAAACTTCCTTTCTCCCCTTCTCATCTCCCCCCTTTCAGATAATTGGATTTTGAGGTAAAAAAGACATTGGTTTAATACGGTCCTCCTTTCTTGTTGCTATGTAATAAAGTAAGTAAGGAGCAAGCACACAGGCTTTCGAGTAAAGTAAAGCAGACCTAGGTTCAAATCCTGGTTCTGCTGTTTATTAGCTGTTTGACCTTGAATGGTATACTTAACCTTGTCCATCTTCAGTTACCTTTGCTATAACATGGGCCTGCCATAACCTGTTTCATAGATGATTACGAAGGTTAACAGCATAATACCTAGTTCAGTCCCTGGTACAGAGTAGCCCAAACCTTTCTGTCACCCTGCATCAAGGCCTGGCTTAAGTCATCACTCCTGTGTGAAGCTTCTGAGGCCACCTCCAGTTAGACATTCCTTTTTCCACTTTTACAAGCCATAGCACTCTGAACTGTTAGATCTGCCTAGTATTGTAGTAGTCCTATGCAAGGTTGACACAGTCTCGCCCTGAACTACAAGGAGCCCAAGAATAGGACTGTTCTCATTCATCCCTGCATCCTCTATAACCCCTAACCCAGAACTGTGACCATGGCCAACTAGACCCAGGAAATATTTCTTGGTTGATTGGATAGAAGGCTTCTATATATATATGCAGTATTTTGCAGCTGACAGAAAGAGCTGTTAAAGATCTGGCTGGAATCTTCCATCTTAACTCTTTTCTTTTCCTTTCCTATTATCATACTGATTGTCACAAATTCTCTCTGTTAATAGGCAAGATGGGAATTATATCCCCGTTTTGTAGTTGAGGAATCTGAAGCTCAGATTAGAGCCCAGGTTTCTTGTTAGAAGATTGCTCCACTATAAGAGTAACAGGAATGATCCCTGACCTGTGTGGCTCAGGTGGTTGGGCATCATCCTGCAAAGCAAAAAGTTACCAGTTCAATTCCTGGTCAGGGCACATGCCTAGGTTGCAGGTTCGGTCCCTGACCAGGGCGTGTAGGAGAGGAAGCTGATCGATGTTTCTCACATTGATGTTTCTCTTCCCTCTTTATCCCTCCTTTTCCCACACTCTTTAAAAAAAAAAAAGTAACAGGAATGAGAACAGAATTCCTGATTGACTAGGTCTCCATTCTCTGGAAGTAGTATGAATCTTTTGTGTTTCATTTTTTAAATTCTCACCTGGGGCCATGCTTATTGATTTTAGAGAGAGGGGAAGGGAGAGAAAAACATCAATCAGTTGCCTCTCGAATGCACCCTGACTGGGGACCAACTCTGCAACCTAGTGTGCACCCTGTTCAGGAATCAAACCTGAGACCTTTTGGTTTATGGGATGACGCTCCAACCAACTGAGCCACACCTGCCCAGGGCAGCAGTATGAATCTTTACAAGCAAGAAGGAGCAGGGAGACTGACAAAGAGCCATGAGAAAAAGGGCTTAGGATAACTTTATTGATTTGCTAGGCTTTGAAGATTAAGGGTTTGAATGTGTACCAAGTACATACAAAATTCCTGAAGACTAGCATTCCAGGTGAGACAGTAGCATGGACAAAAGTACGGCAGCCAGAAAGCCCATGGCAGACATAAGGCAGATGATGACTACATCATGGCATACCTGGGGAGTGAGGCTGAGGTGATTGGGAGCCATGACATTTTTTTTTCAGCAGGGGAGTGTCATTAGAAACATCAGTCTGGCAGTGTGGGCCCAATGTGTTGGGGCAGGAGGGGTGAGGGAGACTAGTGGAAGAGAAACCAGGGAAGAGGCTACTGTAATAGTCTTTGTAATGTCAGTACATTTTAAAAAATAATTCCAGCTGTGCAGGCAAGAGATAATGAGATCCTGAACCAAGAGGAAGTTGACGCAGTAGGGAATAATGAAGAACAGTGTGGATGTAGAGCTCGTAGAGCAAAAAACAAAACATAAAAACCCAGAACACAAGGACTTTGCAATTTTGGGAATGGGAAATGAGGGAAGGACAGGTCAGGGAGCATAAACATTTGGAGTCTAAATACTTAGGAGAATAGTTTTATCATTTGCTGAACCATGGAGGCTGGAAATAGGAGATGGGTCCAATTTATTGACCTGTTGAATTGGAGGTGCTGATACTCCATGGCCTTTGCCACCTGCCTAAGGCCTCTGCCTTTGTTCTTTGACCCAGGCCTGCAGTCCTTCAGTTTGGTGTGTCTGCTGCTTCGTTTCAGGCCTGGAGCCCCCCACAGATCCCTCCTTATCTAAGCCTGGAGGAACCTGGCCCAAGAGTGAGATAAAGCAGGGTGTCAAACTCATTTTCACTGGGGGCCACATCAGCCTTGTGGTTGCCTTCAAAGGGCCAAAATAATTTTAGGACTGTATAATTGTAACTACTCCTCAACTGTTAAGGAGTTGGAATTACATTTGGCCCTTTGAAGGCAACCTCAAGGCTGATGCGGCCCCTGGTGAGAATGAGTTTGACACCCCTGAGATAGAGTGAGAGCTGTCCTGAAGAGCAATTCTTTCACTGATGTACTTTAGTATAGGGCAAGTCACCTAACCTCTGAGCCTTGTTTTTTTGATATTAAAATAAGGAGAACGAGTAATTCTTCCATGTGCATTTAGTATCTCATTCTTCCCATCAGTACATTCTAGCTATATTGATCTTTTTCCTTAAGCATAACTAGTCTATTTTTGCCTCTTGCCTCAGGGGCTTTGCACATGTAATTCCCTCTCTCTAAAACACTCTTGGCTTAGATCTCTGCAGATCTTACTCCTACACTTAATTCAGGTCTCTGTCCACTGGTCACCTGTTAGAGAAGCCTTCCCTGACCATTTTATCTAAAATAGACTTCATTCTCAGTCATTTCCATTTTTCCTTTCTTTGCTTTATTTTATAGCACTTAGCATGACCTGAAATTATGTATTTAATTATTAGCCTATCTTTTGCTAAGATGCAGTGCATGTGAGGGCAGGGACTTTAAGTGCCTACACCTACCTAAATTCTGAGCAGGACCCTGACTGACTTCCTTCTCTGTTATAGGTGATACCTATTCCCAGAGGCAGCTGGTGGCTGACCCTGTAACCCTAAAGAGGAAATCGCTGACTGAGCTCAACCTCGGTGAGTGAGGCAAACTCTGGTCCAGCTTGGGCCAAGACAGAGAGTAACTAGTTTGGGGCTTATTTTTACCCTTTCTATAGATAACTTGCAGGTGATTACTCTTCTGTTTCATGTCTACAAGATTGGCATAGGCAGCCTCCTGTATTGGCAGGAAAACTGAACTAGCTTTACTGGAGCTGTCACAGGATGGTTCAGGGTGATTTTCAATGAATAAGGCAAAGCAGGCTCAACCCGTATTGGCTTCTGCCGGCTGCTTTGTGCTAGGAGGGGAGGGGGGAACCTGGCAGCTCCCACAAGCCCTCTTAACATGACCTCATAGCCCTTAGAAACTTTCCTGATTTCAGTCTTGACTGTGCCCTACCAAACCCATAGGTCAGCTTTAGAAAATTCTGTAGTTTTGTCAGTCCTGCAAAATGTGATCATGAACAGTAGTAAGGCTGGAGTGATCGAGTGGAGCTGTGTGAAGGGGAATTCTGGGGAGCTCAGAGGGAAGACAGCAGATGGTGAAACAGCAAGGGAAATCAGCACATTAAGGACCAGTTGTGTCCTGACTTGTGTGGCTCAGTTGGTTGGGTGTCGTTCACAAATCGAGAGGTTCCTGGTTCAATTCCCAGCCAGGGCACATTCCTGGGTTGCTGTTTGGTTCCAGGATGGGATGTGTGTGAGAGGCAATTGATTGATGTTGCTCTGACTTGCATTGATGTGTCTCTCCCTGTCTTTTTCCCTCTCTTCCTTTCTCTCTAAAAATAAATAAATAAAATCTTATAAAAGAACCGGTTGTGTTATGGAAATTATTTACTCTAGACAAAACCCCATTTTATAGATGAGGGGACTGAGGCTCAGGAAGCTAAAATAATTTGCCTAGGGTTCACACCTTGGCAAAGCTGACGTTAGAACCTAGGCCAGTCTAACTGTAAATACCATTGTTCTCCCTGAATTGGCAGGCTACCTGATTTTTCTTACAAAGTTCAAGAAGACAGACCTGCTCACGGATTCAGAAAGGGGGTCCAGTTATTTGAGAGCCCAGCAGGGCAGATAGGAGTTGGGGGGTGGGTTCCTTTTGAGCAATAGCATTTCTAGTAAGGGGCCAAGAAATTAAAAGATAGGAAGAACCCTTCAAGCAGGCAGAGGCCCAAGCTAAATACAGAAGAAAACACCTGTGACACATTGGGTCCTATAAACACTGGGGCCAGCACAGATAGGAACCTGAGGAGCTGGGTTGGAGTTGAGGCTCATGGGTTTTTATCTTCTCTCTTGATACCTGCCCTTGAACAATCTTCATTTTCCTGTTTGTAAAATTGGAGTGCTTCCCCACACCCCCACATGTCTATCATGTGTACACCAACCATGCAGGACATTGTAGAGAATCAAATGAAAATGCAAGTAAGTTGGAAAGCTTTGTGAATTGTAAAGCAGCATGACTGAAAGGAGAGAGAGTGAGAAGAAAGCATTATAAGTATCCCTGACATCTCAGCCCCTGACCTATTTGTAATTCCATTCCCCAATAATAAAAGGGAGGAATTTCCTTTGGAAGTCTGCACTGTAAATCTTGTCCCATGCCCTTTTACTCTCCTCCTTCTGCAGGCCCTTCCCAAAGCTCAGTCTTTTCACAAGGAAAGGGGTTCTAGGGCAGAGACAAAGCCAGGCAGCATCGGCAGCCATGATTTGCATCATGTTGGCTGCAGAGTGCAGGTTTAAATGCACTCCCACAGCCTGGCTCCAAGGCCACTGCTGACACAGATATTAAAGCAGTTTTAAGAGCTCATCCCCAGCATGTGTTTGCACTCACTGACTAATTCTGAGATGTTGCCATGTTCCCTACTGTCATTTGAAGAAGAGGAAGGCTAGTCCTATTTTGGCCTTAGGTTCCCTGCCCACCCCTGCCCCTACCTCTAACTGCTAGTGAAAAAGACATTTGTGCATGTAGCCTTGTATCTTATCAGAGGCCATGCTTTCCCACCATTTCTCCTTCACCCTTGGCCAGTGACATAAGCCACTCTCTTCACTCTGTAACAGTGGACATTCTCCTTCCCTCTCTCTGCCTGAGGGTGCACAGAGGGGTCTGTCCTCTACCTGGTGCTCTTGGCAGGCCAGCCTTTCTTCCTACTCTGCATCTCCAGACTCTTGCTTGCCATCTCTTTGTGTTTGGTTGATCTAAAGTTTTGTAGCTTCTGGCTTTTCCATGTCCTACATGCCAAGTTTGGATCTTACTGTTGTTGTAATAGTTGCCCTGTGAAGAAGTTCCACCAGTGACTATTTTAAAATGTGAATGATTCCATGTAAAAGAAAAAGGATATAAAATACTGCTATCCATATAGTAGCTTATTTATCTAACATCCTCAATTTTTTAGAATCCAACTAAAAAACAAGAAAGTGAGTCATTTGCACCCTTAAGTCCTTGCACAGCACTCATTTATTTTTACTGTTGCATGTTATTGTAACAGTTTTAGCAATCTGGTTTCAAAACCCCCATAAAATTAAAAGCAGCATATAAAAGAGCAGGGAGGAGCTGCTGTATTAACAGCACCTAGAGGTGAGAGCTGAGAACTGCCAGTAGGGGGTGAGGGTGTGAAAGAGGAATGAGAAAGAGAAGTTCAGATGAGTCTGGAGGCCATTTAATCTAGGGGCAGTCGCCATACAGATAGGTCTGCACTTCATGAAGGTGGGGTTAGATAAAAATGTTTTTTTAAGGGAGAGAGAGATGCATCAATGTGAGAGAGAAGCATCAAGTGGTTGCCTCGTGTATGCCCCCACACTGGGGTTTGCACTGCCTAGGTGTGGGCCCAGACTGGAAATCAAACCTGCAACCCATTTGTTATAGGATGATGCTCCAACCAACTGAGCCACACTGGCCAGCACTGAGGTTAGGTAACTTTAAAGGTAGTTTTAGCAAAAGGTAGGTTCCTCTTTTTTTTTTTTTAATATTTTATTTATGTATTTTTAGAGAGGGGGAATGGAAAGGAGAAAGAGAGGGAGAGAAACATCAGTGTGTGGTTGCCTCTCTCAACCCCCCCAACTGGGGACCTGGCCCAAAACCCAGGCATGTGCCCTGACTGGGAATCGAACTGACGACCCTTTGGTTCGCAGGCCTGCGCTCAATCCGCTGAGCTATATACAAGCCAGAGTTTTAGGTTCCTCTTGAAGGTCAAAAAATATTAAATTTTTTAAAACATTATTTGCTAGTGAATGCTATATATATATATATATATATATATATATATATAATGATTTTATTTTCATAACACCTTAGGAGTTAGGCGGTGATGTTTTCATTTTATAAATTACTAAAACTTAGAGAGGGACACAGTAGTCAGTGATTGGAAGAGCTAAAGCTTAGAACCCAGAAGAATCTGGCTCCAGAGAACCAAGTTTTTCTACTGTCCTATTTTGGCTCTTTCTCTGTGACCTAAAATCCTGGTCCTTTTAAGCTTCTTGTGCTAGTGGTCCTTTCCCTTCACTCCCTTTTATTCATTCTCTACATAAAAATTTAAAGATTTTAAAATTTAATTTTAGAGAGGGGAGGGGAAGGAGAAAGAGAGAAACACTGATGTAGGAGACACATGATTGGTTGCTTCTTGGTCATGCGTGCCCCACATATGCACCCCAACTGGGGACCAAACCCACAACCCATGCATGTGCTCTTAATGGGAATCACACCGATGACCCTTAGCTTTGCGGAGTGATGTCCAGCCATCTAAGCCACACTGGTCGGGGCTAAAATTTTCTTTTTAAAGACATTCAGTGAGTATTGAGTGTTCGCTGTGTGCCAGGCACAGTTTTATGTGTTTGAAATGCAGCAGTGAAGAAAATGGCTCTCTTGTGTTTTACATTCTAGTTAAGGAAAACAGATAAATGAATACTATGAAGAAAAATAAAACAGGACTAGGGAATAGGGAGGGACTGTGCTGAAAGAAGGCCTCTGAGAAAATAAAATCTGTGCAGAAATGTAGAGTAACTGAAGTAGTGAGCTATGTATACTGTTTATCTTGGGAAATAGCATTCCAAGCATAGAGTTAAGCAGAGTTCAGAGGCCCTGAAACAGGAGTGTGCTTATTGTGTTGGAGGAACAAAGGGGGGTTAGTGTCGCTAGGAATGAAGGGTGGCAGTGGAGTAGGGAGAAATCACAAGGGTGGACATGGATCCAGGTCAAGTAGGGCTTTATTTTGAGTGAAATAGGAAGCCACTGCAGAGTTTTTGTAGAAGAAGAATGTAATCTGATGTTCATTAAAAAATAAAAAGCCCCTGCCCTGACTGGTATGGTTTAGTTGGTTGGGCATCATCCCACAAAGTGAAAGGTCTCTGGTTTGATTCCCAGTCAGGCGTGTATGAGAGGCGACCGATTGGAGTTCTCTCCCTCTTTTTCTCCCCTCCCTTCCCTCTCTCTAAAAATAAGTAAATAAAACCTATTTTTTAAAAATCCCTCTGCCTGATTACACCAGCTAGGACCTCCAGTACAATGTTGAATATAATTGAAAACAGACACTCTGACCTTGTTCCCAATTTTAGAGAAAAATACTTCGTCTTTCCCCATTAAGTATGGTGTTAGCCCATAGCATTTTGTAGATGATGTATATCAGACTAAGTTCCCTTCTATTCCTAGTTTATTGAGAGGTTTTATTATGGATGGATGTTGGATTTTATTGTGTGGTTTTTGTCCTTTTATTCTACTAACATGGCAATACATTGACTTTTAGATATTAAGCCAAGCTTGTATTCCTAGAATAAATCTGTCTTAGTCATAGTGTATAATCCTTTTTATTTTTACATGGTGTTGGACTTGGTTTGCTAATATTTTGTTGCAATTTTTATCTATTCATAAGGGATATTGGTCAGTAGCTTTCTCTTAATTACTAATTCAATAATTTTTTCACTTGTTTTAGGTGTACTTAGATTTTCTGTTTCATTTTGAGTTACTTTTGATAATTTGTATCTTTGTAGGAATTTGTCCATTTCATCTACATTGTCTAATTTCTTGGCTTAAAGTTGTTTGAAGTATTTCC